AAGCACAATGCAGCCAAATTACTTTTCTTGTCTTGGCTGAGAAATAACAGTGAAAAGAAAAGTTTATCTAAGAATACTATGACTAAATTATTATATAAGTATACTAATAGTATCTAGTCACAACTATTTATGTATCTATTGCAGTGTGCTTAAAAGTGTTACAAATGTTTAAATAAGCCCTTAACATTTCCTCAAAAGTAAAAGCAGGAGAATCTAATAAAATGGCGTCCACAATTAAAATTTCCTTAATTTTACTCCACCCCTTACGCTCCTTTGCACCAAATCTCAATGTCCCCAGTAAACTGAGTAAACATAATGATAACATTAGGCTACGTGGCCTTCAAGATGACCTTTTTGAGATGTTGGTTGAACCATCCTGTTTTTTTCCCCACAGTAACTTAGTAACTTTCTCCACAACTTGGCTACAAATGGGACATTCTGCTGGTCCAGCCAGAAGGTAATAAACATATGGTTCTTTGAAAACATCTTCCATATGATGCAAAGCTTAAGTTGAACTTTGCAACCAAAAATATTTATGGTGTTTACTTAGGAAAGTCTAGTTATGTTTTGTAATCTAACAATATGGCCCACATAAATGTGAAGTCTTTCATAACTGTATCTGAGTTTATCATAAGTTTTGGTTTTAACTTATATAGAACATATATTTCCCAACATTAAACTTGGGTCGTCTTCAAATGAATTGGCTGCTCCTCTTGTCATACTTCAGACTCCAAGCTAGAGAAGTGTGCAGACCCCCTTCTTTTATAAAGGTTTCCACTATGACTTGATCTAGGTTGGCATTCTGGAGAAAAGATTTGTCTGTGACACCTTAGATGGCATCTACTTAGGTCCTCCAAACTTCGGGAGGTAGGATGTATGGGGGCTAAGTCACAAGAATGGTGATGGTGGTGAAGGTAAGAGCAGTGACCTCCACGTAAGTGCTCCCAGTCCAATCGCCTTTCAAGCTTTTCATCTGAACAGCTGACGTATCTTGGCTCCTTGTGGCAGTGAGGCGGCAACACTTCCAAGCTACTGCAATAGCAAGAACCGTGGCAGGTGGCTGGAAGATAATCTTTGCTCAACTGACGATATTTACCAAGCTTATCCACTGACCAGTACCTCATCGGTTTTCGTGGTGCAGAGGGGGTCTGTCGTTCTCTAGATGGGTATGTGCAGAAGTAGTTTGGTGAGTACCAACAGTTGTGTCCCATGTCAGATTTCACACATGGTGGTTCTCTCTCACACACATCTGAATCAGAATCTGAGATATCAGCATACTTGTTTTGATTGGGACTCATAACAAGAGGGTGAGAATGGCTCCTGCACATATGAGATCGATTAGATTTTTTGTGCAGTAAGGGTTGGGATTCCATGTCCATTTCCTCTCGACGATGGTGACAATCCCTTCCACAACTTCTCTCATCTTCATATGTAAACCTCGAATGACCACCATAATGGGTTCCATCACAGACCTCCACATTGGCTTTGTTAGGACGATTTGTGCTAGCATTTTGACCTCCACCACTATATACCTCACATTCCATTTCACATGTGTTCTTCTGGTAACTACTTCCTAAGTGATCAAACTTTTTTGCGGTTGTTTCAGGTGTTCGACTACCCCGTGCCCCACCTGTAGACTTTGGAGTCCTTTCCTTTCCTGCTTGGTAATTTTCATAAAGACCCCTTGAAATTTTTGACTGCCATCCTGGTGGTTCTGGAGCATCTTTTTCTCGCACAATGGCAAAATAAGATGGTGGGTTTTCCAGGAAGTCTCTTTGAGTCGGAGGTGACATTTGACAGGATGAAATATTTTTATCTTTGCTAAAAGCTTGCCCAGACTCCACCAGATGATCAGAGAGACCTTCAGGTTCAATAGGACCATAATACCTATGAAAGCCATCGGAAAATGTGTTCTTGTGTGGATGGCGAGGTGGAGCTGCCTTGCTGTTGGGGTCATGAGCAGAGCGAGTTGGAGTATAGACATCTTTGTAGCAGTTAGGGCTGCGAGCATGACGCCACCTCTCAACTATCCTCCTTTCCCGTGGCAAAAAGTTGGAACATGGTAAAGGTGCAGATGGTGGTGGAGGTGGAGCAATGGAATTTGAAAGTGCTGGTATTCTTTGTGGTGGATAGCAATGATTTAAAGTTGGTAGTTGTTGGTCTATAGCCTTTGGATCCTCAGCACTGCAACAGCTGTACATTCCCTGTGGGAATAAAAAAAAAAATACTGACGTCACTTATATACTTTTTATGAATATAACATTTAAAAAGATCAAGTGCTGTTTTTTTTTATAAAGGTGCACATATTTATTTCTGTTCATCCAATCTCAAGATATTCATAGCCCTGCCACACAGCACAGCCCTGTCTTGTCCCTCTCCCACCCTGTGATTATTGAGTGAATGAAAAGAAACAGACCGATGAGCTTATCTCTGCTGTCCCTTTGTCACTCTGCTTTATTCTCCTATCAGCATGTTCCTTGCTAGCACTGCATTCCAACTGATTGCCTCCTTATGCTGCTTCTCTTTTTCCCAGTTTGAGCTTTGCCATACAGGTGATTGCAAATAGCTTATACCATGTTAAATTCAGGTATTTACAGTGAAAAAATAAATGCAGGCCCTATTCACATTATTCAGCTGCATTATTTGCATTGGTGCAATGTGTTGTCATTCATTCTAAATGGCACCCCAAATCACATTCTCAATGCACTTGCTTGCAGCACAGTGCAACATGTTGCTTGTTCAACACTAAATTACCCAGCACACTTTCCTATCTATCTATCTATCTATCTATCTATCTATCTATCTATCTATCTATCTATCTATCTATCAATCTATATATCTATTTATCTATCTATCATGCCCGTACAGAGAGGTATACAGCATGTACTACAATTTCGGGTATCCCCACCCTTCGTCAGATATAGACTGGTGGGCGAGGACACCCAAAGCTGGAGTCCATGCTTCAAACCTCTCTGTATGATAAATAAAGACTACATGGGATTGAGCATATTTGGAGTGCAGGATCACTCTTGTCACACGACAATTTCTAGAACCCTCCATGGTCCTTGCTCTATGCTGACAGCAGCACAAATCCAGTATGTTGGATCTTTTATAGAGTTAAGTTAAGAATCAGAACTAATTCATAATGAGACTTTCAAAGAAGTTCTCAAAAATAAGCTCCTGTGACCACCGTAGGCTCTTATACCATGCTGAAGTTCAGAAGTGGCCCTATAATTGTAAACAGTAGATAGCTACATGTCTCACTTCCCTTACAAACTCCAAAGTAATGGGTCTTTTCCTTTTTTTAGGATAGTGGTTGGAGCCATGCAAAATATTCCTTAATACCCTTGGGCCAACTATGCATCCAGAGCCGCTGGTTCACAGCACAGATACAGTCTGATATTATAGTCATTTATTCCAAACTGCTAGGGCTTGCTGGCAATGAGAAAGTATAACTAGACAGGTTATAATAAGATGGGTCAACATCTATCAAGAAGCTGCTAAACCAGTGTGAAGCACAGAAAAGTCTTCATAATAAAGACGGTATCTACATGTCTTACTTCCATTACAAATCCTCAAAATAAGGGAATTATTCCTCATTTATGGATAGTGTTGACTATGCCATTAGCTTGTTATTCATGCATGGTAAGCTTTTCGTATTCTAAATAAACTGACTTTTCATTTTTTCATGTCTTATGTTAAAGTCAATTCTACCCAAAGGTGACATTTTTGTTTGATGTAACCATTATTGTAAATGCATTAAGGATTTCTAGAATTTAGTTTTGTAATTAGGGAGAAATTTTGATGGTGGCATTTTATGATTGGGATCACTGAGAACTATGAGCCACTATGTATTTCAACCTTACATTTAAATAAAATTTTTACATGGAGTTCACAACAGAAAATGCAGTATAAAAGAGTAAGCTTTCTGTTTGATGTAAATACAAACATTTCTGCGACATATATTACAATTTTGTAATTTTATTATATATGCATTAACTGTATATATGAATGATATTCTTGTGAATAGAAATTCTTAATGCATGCATGAGATTGAAGAATGCATGCTGTAATCCCTCCTTAGCTACTCTGAATTCTCATTCTGATTCATTTACTGACATAAGCGGGATAAAAATAGCTTGTACGCAGCCTGCAGTATTGACATGATATTGACATGCATGATAGCAGCGCCTTTCTTAGAAACAATTTAATGGCTGATGTCTATTTTTAGGATATTGTTACAAAGACCAAATACTGCTTTTCAGAAGATGCTAATTTTGATGCTATTTGTCAAGGGTCACCCTCATAGCTGCACAAGAAGTTAAAAAAAAAGAAAGTTTTGTAGTTTAATCCTTCAGTTTTATATTTGTAAAATTAGGAAGAAAAGCAATCTTTTTAACTAATATTCTCCCAGGGTAGATTAGACGCTGGGAAATAAAATCCGATTGGTTGCTGAGAGCAGCAGGACCACTTTTCTCCCTTGTTGCTAGTTGCTTTACCACATGGTGCAGATAAATTAATCCCATTGGTTTAAAACACAAACCAAAATCAGTGCTGCTATATACAATGTATACTGCAAAAGTAGAGTCACAGCATTGTGCTAGGGAGATTTCCCTCACTTCCTGTCCCAGAGACACAATAGGAAGTAAGTAAAAATGTTTCCAAAGTGAGAGGAAATCCCTCTTGAGCTCTCCACACTTATTACAAAGTAACTGTACAATCACCTTTAGATCTAACAACAACTGTGTAGTTCAAGGGCCTACCTGATTGGAAGTACATTGATTGGATAGTTTAGGTAGGTCCTCATATTACATGGTTTTGTTCAATTTAAAGTTGATTATACAAAGATAGTAGGGTCACATTGATATGTGTATATTAAGCGTTTGGCAGTTGCCCTTTCCTCATGTTCTAGTAATAACTAACATTTTGGATTTTTAATTTCTTACTGTCCTAGTGACAACGGCCACCAGAACTGTTAGAGAGGGTTCATCTCCCCATTGGGGATGCACACTAAAATAAAAACTTGACAGGTGTATTAACTATTCCACACTTTATCCACAAATGTTTTGGCTATAGATATACTTCAAATTAATTTGACACTTAGGAATAAGTGCTTTGATAGGTCATCCACCCACCGATACTTAAAGTACATGCCCTACACTCCCTTGCTGACCTGTTTACCTGCAGGAACCCTGAGTCTGATCCCTGTGTCAACTCCATGTCTATCTGTGTTAGAGCTTATACATGGTTATTTAGTTACTCAGGACCGAACCTTCATCCTCAGAGGAAGCACCAAAGGTCTAATGCTCCCCTATACCTGAAAGCACCTGGTATTTCCAAGGGCTCTGACAGACAGAGTGGCGTTGAAGAGCGAGGAAGGTGAGTATCATCAGGAGGGAGTGTTAATAAAGCAGAACTCTAGGCAAAACTTGTATTATCCCTTGCAGTGGGATCTACCACAGCATTGAAAGAGTAAACTGCTCGTTTTGGTCTAAGGAGGAAAAGAAGAACGTTTACTCACCCTATCGTCCAAGACGAAGAATTGCTCCTCCTCCAATGCAGCGGTCTAAAGTCCCTGAGTCATCACATTCTATACACAGTGTATAGAACATGTGGACGCCGAGGGGAATAGTATTGGAGCGGAGGAGGAGACAGGCAGGAGAGAGCGCTGTCACAGCTGGCTGGCTCAGAGCATCGGGTGAGTATATCTTTGTTATTTTCCTCTGTAGGCCAAAATGAGCAGTTAACCCTTGCAGTGTGGGGGTAGCCCCACTGCCAGGGTTAAATAAGGTTTTGACCGGAGTTCTTCTTTGAGAAAGTCTGTCACTTTGTCCTAATCAAATGCCAGCCATGCATTTCCTTCCTAAATCCTGCAGGTGCCAGTGCTCAGATTAATGTATTTTTTTTCCCACACTTCAACTATAACATAGGCTTAAGCACATTATAAATGAGTCTGCATATTCCACTTTCAAAATACTCTACCGTCTGAAAAGGCTGTGCCTGGATAAAACCATTATCAAACCATTTATCCATTGTAAACCTTTTTTTTTTCTCTGCATTGCATTTGCTTTTATGTGGCTGGGATAAAAGTCTTCATGAAACTTCATAGATGTAATAAATCAGCTCTGAGACCACAAAGTCTTTCCCTTAGACGCTGTTTCTGAAGAGGCTACTTTTGCCATCTCAAAGCTCATGTATTACAGAACCTATGAAGGGTTTGGAAAAAAAAAAAACTTCACAGGTTCTATAATGCAAGAGCTTACAAACAGTGATTTGCCGAACCTTAGCTGTTACCGTTCCACATTAAAAGCTATTTAGTTCCAGCAATACAGGAAAGATACAGCTTCCCGGCACTATGTGAGCATCCGTTCTTGGAACCTTGGGTCACACATTAGATAGTTATGCTATTAAGCTTACTTATTTTGTAAACTTGACAAAATATTCATCAAGCATGAAGAAACAATTGCACTAAATATAATTAGCTAAAAGAGTTCCAAAATGTTCAAAAACAAAAAAAGAAGATCGAGTTTCCCATTAAGTCTGACATACGCAGTACGATCTAAAATGAACAAATATGCAATGTAAGGTCTTACCTAAAGGATCTCTATCTAATCACACAGGCCCTTGCACAAAAAGAGATTGCACAGTCAGATTGGAATGTGTATGGCTAGCTTTGGAGAGATAACATTTCTGCAGTTGAAAAGAACTCCAGGAATTTAGAAAACTTACCTTTGCAGTGGGGCTACCCCCGCATTGCAAGGGTTAAGTGCTCCTTTTGATTAGGTCAGGGGTAGGCAACCTTGGCTCTCCAGCTGTGCTGAAACTACAAATCCCATAAGGCACTGCAAGCCACAGGCATGACTCCCAGAGGCAGAAGCATGATGGGAATTCTAGTTTCAGCACAACTGGAGAGCCAAGGTTGCCTACCCCTGGTCTAGGGGATCAAATAAAGCAGTTATACTTACCTGATCCTCGCTCTCCCCTGAGCTCCAGCGGCTCTCACGTCCATAGACTTGCATTAGATGGGAGGACCCAGAGGAACATTCCACAGACGGAGCGAAGAGGGAGAGAGATGAGCGCTAACCGCCATGAGTACTTAAGCCTCGCAGTGCGGGGGGTAGCTGCACTGCAAGGGTATTTTTTTTTTTTTATTCTCCAGGTAGATAGATACAAACATGATGCAGCCCTATAGCCACTTACACAA